ATACCACTTCAGAAACCCAAGGAGGGGTTGCTATGAGTCAAATTGACTGGATGACAATGACTGGTTTTTTTTTGTTCATTCTTGTTGTTGTTGTTGTTATGTGCCGTTGAGTAGGACCCGACTCATAGCGACCCCTCTTTGGGTTTCCAAGGCAGTATCACTATGGAAGTAGATTGCCGTATCTTCCTTCCGAGGGGTGGCTGGTGAGTTTCAACTGCCAGCCTTCTGGTTAGCAGTCAAGTGCCTTAGCCACTATATATTCAAATAAAACTGAGATCATATTTGAGTAATAAACTCACTACTCTCATTTTGATTCAAGTTATGATTAAAAAAACTATATCCACATATTTATTAAGGGCCAAATATTTGTCAGTTGCCACATGCATCCTATTGGTAGGTATTATTATCTTGTTCAGTTAAAAGAATTTGAGACATTTATAAGAATTCTAAATTTAGTGTGTGAAGGATATGAAATTTGGACCTTCAGCTCCTGATTCCTATTCCAGGTCTCTGTCTCCTCAACCAGAGCCAAATGATTGTGTTTCTTTTCAGATGAGCAAATGAAGACTGAAGCAATGATTCTTCCTCTTTTTAGTTAGAGAGTTGATTGATGAATTATTAAAATAGACCAAATGGTTTACAGGAAACTTTACATCATGAATATTGTGCAATGCAGGGTTTTTGTCTGAAGAGTAATACATGCTTAGGCACTCTGAGCTGTGGGAGTATTATTTCCTATACAAGATGGTAATTTTGATAGAGATATATCATGCAATGACTTTTACCAGATACCTTTTATAGGTTTTGGTGTTTCCATATCTTCATAATAAAAGCATGCAGTTTTACCTAATTTCTATTGGTAAACCAATGTTTGCAATTGATTGTAAATTTGGACATGCATCTATTTTACACCTCCCACAACTATTATCCATACAAATATTATGTAGAAATTTTCACTTGTGTAATATGTAGTGTAGAATGATAATTTTACTATGATGGTCTTAATAAGAAATTGACAAATACAGTAGTCCTTTGCAAGTGATACTATGAATCATTTAAAGTGTGTGAAATAGAGGTATATTATTCCCAGAGAAAGTAAAACATAACTCTGTACTAAGTGAGAACTTTAGTTGGACCATATATGCATCATTATACTGTTTAAGTACATTTTCAAGAAAGTGGTTATGGATGCATAAATGAATGTTCACATTATGAAAATATTGAAAAGAAAAGATATCCACTAAACTTATCATTTTATGACAGATATTGTTGTTTGGGAGCCAGGGTATTGAGGAAAAGTAAAATATGCAGAGACCAAGAAAACTCAAGTTTTATCCCAAATAATTTAAATCTCTCAAATATGAGTTATGAAGCAAATATTATTAAATATTCACATATTTAATGTCAAGAATGGTTATTAATGATACTAATATGTCACACAGATGGAACACTTACTAAGTCCCTGGCAATAATCTAAAGCAATGATTTTCAACTCTAGCTGTACTTCAGGATGAGCAAATGACTCACATGCAGTGTCTGATTTCATGGGTTCCAGGTTGTGTCCAGCTCATTGTTGTATTTTAAGTGATCCATAGATTATTATAATATCAACTACCACTGAAAATCACTGTTGTAAGCATGTTATATATGTTATTTAATCTCATTTCTTTCTAAAACCCTAAACATTAGGTTTAATTAATACATTTCAACAAACGTGCAAATTACCAATGTGTTATTTCATATTCTGCTCTTTTCATTTTTACATTTATCCAAATTAAATCAAATTAAACCTACCAAGAGAAATGAAGAAGTGAGTTGCCATCAGGCAGCTCAAGCAAAGAGAATTCCTGTCCCTCTGATAAGGAAGGGTTGACTTGAAAAGCTCTTAAGAAGACTAAAATGGCTTGGTTTCAAACATGGCACTGAATGCTGGGTTTCAAACTACCCAGGTTATAATTTCTTCAATTGTAAATAAGAGTGTTGATTTGATAACAAATATTTTCCAAATATTTATTATAAACCCACTGCTGTCGAGTCGTATGTGACTCATGGCAACCTCTCCTTGGGTTTCCAAGGCGATATCACTACAGAAGTAGATTGCCCAACCTTCCTTCCTAGGAGTGGCTGGTGGGTTTGAACCGCCAGCTTTCTGGTTAGCAGACATATGCCTTAGGCACTAATTAAACATTTTTCAAGCCAACAGAGAATAGAAAGGAATAAAGGAAAAAGCCAGCTGAACACCAGGCAATTCCCTGAGAACATGTAGCTTTGATGAAAATAACACTGCGTACAGTGAAAAACAGTAACAGAGTTTGTTAAAAGTAATTTTCATTTAATCATGGGTGCATTCGACACTACACCATCTTTGGAATCAGTAATACCGTAAGGTTTTGTGCATTTATCAAACACAGAGCTATCAAACTTTGATGTCCATTAAATCTAAGAGAGAAGATACATAATTTCAAAGATTTTTAAAGACAACCCACACATTTGAATGACCATGCATCTCCATATAAGGCAGAAGTTAGAAAATCAAAGCATGATGAAAACTTGTGAAGACATTTGACATGTAAAAACACTCTCTGGTGATGGACCCTTTGTTATAATTTAGAATCCAGATCATGAATTCTTTGTATGAAGCAAATGCTTTGGGCTCAGCCACCAACCTGAAGGTTGGGGGTTCAAACTTACCATTCAAGCCTTGACAAAAATGCCAAGTTATCTGCTTTTATAAAGAGAAGGCCAAGAAAACACTTTGGAACGGTTCTATTCTGTAACATGTGGGGCCACCATTACTCAATAAACTTGACAGCAACCGTATTTTTATTTTTATTTACTTATTTATTTTAATAATTTTTAAATGTGTGTCCTTTTTGGTTGTTTTATAAAATTCTAAATCAACAAAGTCTATTGCACTGTCTTTGGATAAAATGAAATGAAATGTGTGTCAGAGTAGAACTTTGCTCCACAAGGTTTTCAATGACTGATTTTTTTGGAAGGAGATCACCAAGCCTTTCTTCCAATGGACATCTAGACATCTGGCTGTATTTTGGCAGTTTTTTTTTTTTTTTTTTTTTTTTGGCAGCAAGGTGTTTTACCATTTTCCCACCTTGAGATTGAAAGTGCTTCTTACTGTCCTTTTAATTCAAGTGTTTTTTTTTTTTTTTCCTTACAAGGAGGATTTTCTTCTTGCATGTTTCCCTCATAGAGGGCCTTGATATACATTGCTTCTTCTATGAAACTATTAAAATATCTCTGCTGTTCTAACATTCTTCATTCTTTACCCACTGTCTCTAAAGTGCATGTGTGCAGAAAGAGATGAATAACACAGAAACAATGAAGAAAAATATCTGAGAAGTAAAGTGGTTGGGTTTGTTACAACTGAGTAATATTGCTGAAGGTGTTGGGATAGTGGCTCCCCAAGCACGAACGTTTGTGAATTTGCATATTTTATTTGTGAATTTCTTGAATGCAAAATGCAGACACAGTGCTGGTTTCCTCTTAACTGCTTCTTTTTAGCAATCCTCTTTGCTTTTTCCAAATCTGTCTCAGTTACATGGAGCCACAGAATCGAACAGACGTATCAGAATTCCTCCTCCTGGGCCTTTCTGAGGATCCAGAACTGCAGCCTCTTGTCTTCGGGCTGTTCCTGTCCATGCATCTGATCACGGTGGCTGGGAACCTACTCATCATCCTGGCTGTCAGCTCTGACACACGCCTTCACACCCCCATGTACTTCTTTCTTTCCAACCTGTCGTTGGCTGACATTGGTTTCATCTCCACCACAGTCCCCAAGATGCTGGTGAACATCCAGACACAGAGCAAAGCCATCACTTATGTGGGCTGCCTGACACAACTTTCCTCTTTATATCTTTTTGGATGTCTGGACAATCTCATCCTTAGTGTGATGGCTTATGATAGGCTTGTGGCCATCTGTTATCCCCTGAACTACAGAGTCATCATGAACCCCCACCTCTGCTGTTTGCTAGTTTTGGTATCTTTTTTCCTCAGCCTTTTTTACTCTCAGCTGCACCTTTCATTGGTGTCACAGATTAACTTTTGCACAAATGTGGAAATTCCTAGTTTCTTCTGTGACTCTCTTCAACTCTTTAATCTTGCCTGTTCTGACACCTCCACCAATGCCATATTAGTATATTGCATTGTTGCCATATTTGCTGGTATTCCAGTCTCAGGGATTCTTTTCTCCTATATGCAAATTTTTTCTTCCATTTTGAGTGTGTCATCATCAGGTGGGAAGTATAAAGCCTTTTCCACCTGTGGCTCTCACCTGTCAATTGTTTGCTTATTTTATGGAACAGGTCTTGGTGTGTATTTCAGCTCAGCTATCTCATCTTCTGTCCAGAAGTGTGCGATGACCTCGGTGATGTACACTGTGGTCAGCCCCATGCTGAACCCTTTTGTCTACAGCCTGAGGAACAGGGACATCAAGAGAGCCCTGCATAGGCTTCTCATCAGGATAGCCTGATTTCAACACTTGTGCCATCTTGTTTAACATATGGGTTGGAAAATTTGCAACACCTAATATTTGCAACCAGAAATCTTGTCACTTTGGTTACATAATTTTTGTAGCTCTTATATCTTTCAATGTTGAGTTTTCATATCTGAACACATTTTCCTGTATCACATCTTTAATGAGATAGTGGGGATTAAATCTTCAATGACATTTTTCACCCTGGAAGATCAAATCCCATTATAGCTGTGGAACATTTTGTATCTTCTCAACTGTGACCCACACTTCCTGATAAAATGCACAGCTCCATTTTTATGTACTTAAAATGCTCACCCTTTACCATAATCCATATATGTTATCCATACTATATGCAGGTTATGCGTGGGAATGAATGTCACTGGCTCTGAACCTTGACTTCAAATTGGAAACATTTCAGAAGTTTTTATTTTATTTTTTTATTTAAAAAATAATGTCTTGGTCTCACCATTACAGATTCTGATTTGATTAGAATGGCATGTGACTTAAACATAAGATTTTTAAAGTATGACTGGAAATGTTAATGTTCAGAGAAAATAAGGACTATTCATCTTTTTAAACTTTTCCTTTAAATATCAACTGTTTCTCTTGAGTTTTTCACTCTTTAGCTGATATGGAAGATGTGCTCAGACCTCACAACATGAAAGATGTGAAAGAACATATCCTAAGGGCAGGCAAGGAAACTTCTGGTACAATGGTGTAATAAGTAGACAAAGTGCACAAATCTTATACAACAAATACATCAGAAATAAGTTGAAACACATGTAAAAGATAATACTGGAACTCTGAGCATCAAAGGGAATGATAAAAAAAAGTGGCTCAAATACTTAGTAGTCAAAGAAACTATCAAAGCAGTGAGTAAGAAAACTAACAGAGTTGTGTATTCTTGACTAGCCTGACAGGGCAGCCATTTTGAAAAATTGCAAGGAGCTTTCAGATCCAGGCAGCAAGCTCATAATTGGCTCTACTTGTTTAGGACTGCACTGGCAACCATAGTGGAGGCTGATGAACAGAAAACAAAAATGCCCACACCACCAAAACACACACCCTTACCTCGTGCAACCCCATACATTGGCTGAGTGTAACCATCTGTTTTTACACCAACTGATCAGCTATGAATGGCAACCAATACTAGCCCGACCCACCCTGAACTGCTGTACATTAAAAGCTAACAGAGATCTGTGCACACATTCTCGTCCTCTCTCACATCCTCCAGGAGAAAGACAGTAATTGCCAAATTGCTGCCAAACTAACAAGTAGAGTAAAGAGTAGCAGAAGAGCCCCACTTACTTGGATTAAAATAAATAAATAAATAA